ACTGTATGCTTTAATACGTCTTTTTACAGTTAAAGAAATACAAACATTAAAGTTGGATTGGGTTTGTGAATATCCAGAGGAACTTAAAGGAAGGAAAGTAACTAGTCTTACGGACAGAGATATATACTACCCCATCAATGTTACCGACTGTCCGAGATTGTGTATCTGCTATGTTAGGTACGATACAAGTTCATTGATTGTCGACTGCCGGAATATCAATATGTCAATATTACCGCCTGTAATGCCAAAAGTACCCTTGGAATTATGGTTCAAGAACACGGGTCTTCTGAAACTAGATCAAAGAGACTATTTGGTAAACGTATTTGTTTTGGACATTTCTGAAAATAAACTAACTCATATTCAACCGCTTACTGCGTCAAAGTTACAAAATGTCACCGTTTTGAATATAGAAAACAATCACTTTACATCACTTCCGGTACAAATACGATACACAAACATTAAAAGTATATATTTAGACGGGAATCCATTAAAGTGTGACTGTCACACAAAGTGGATGAAAGCCTGGCTACAAAACAGATCGTGCCCAGTCATGGATTGGAACGCTATACAATGTATAGACAACGCCAAGAGGGTCAATACATTTGTTACCACTCCAGATTTCTGTATTCGTATGCGCCGGGAGATTGAAACACCAAGTATTGCAGAGCACGTGGTAAATTCCCCTCAACCATTATTGGGGATCTTTTTGTGTTTCATAATCCTTATTCTGTCCCTAACTATCTACTTCCAACGGTTTACAGTTAGAGTCTTACTATATATGATATTTGGAGTCAGATTATGCTATAGACTTGATAATGACCATGGCGATGTGAAATATGACAGTGTTGTTATTTACGACAAAGGTGATCAAAACTTTGTCAACAGAAACGTTAAAAGTCATCTTAGAGTACTGAACTACGACGTAGCCGATATTTACGACGACTCTGTTATTGGATTTACATTTATTGATGGAATTAAAAAGTTGATTTGTAATTCAAAAGTTACAATATTTTTTCTGACAAAAAATAGTTTAGATAACGACTTGATTATAACTTTATGGAACATTACCTCTGAACGAGTTCTCGAAAGAAATTTAGGCTCTATTATACTAGTACTAGACAAAGAGTTTCGGGAAAACTATATGGAAGAAAATATGCGTTTGTACGTCAAAACTGGTAGATACATCAAAAAGGATTCGTCACTATTGCTTAAAAGTATACAATATCTAATGCCACCTCAAAAGCCCCCTAACCAGAACCCGGAATCCAATGATAATGAATTAGACTTTGAGGATATTGGAGCAGGCGATGTGTATTTAACAGAACAAACTCATCGAATCGCTACGAACACCTTTGATGAAAACTTTTATGATAGGCAACCAGACATTTTTATAGTTTTTCCTGATGGAATTGACGAATTACACCAACTTGTTAGGTATACCATAATACCATTTCTTCTTGAGAGAAACCAAAGAGCTGGTGTTCTTCAAGATGATTTTGTCTTTGGTGAAGATATCAGGGTAGGCATAGAAAGTAGACTTAATCAAGCAAAACATGTGATCTTTATTTTATCGGAGGAAATTTTGGAGGATGAAGTCTTGCAGTACATCCTGTGCACCATTCTTACCAAAGCAGTTCTCTGTAGCGGTAATTATTTGCTGCTTTTTACATACGGCCAGATTGATGAAAATAAAATGCCGGAGAACTTGAAGAAATTTGTAAATAGCCATATAACAGCCAGCGTTAGTGATACCAACTTTAAAGACCGAATGTTAGAAGCTGTAACATTCGAAGAAAACCAAGATATTGACAATGAGGATACAGAAAGTGTAGCAATAGAGAACAATGCAGATGATGAAAATTTAATTTAAAATGTATTTGTATAACCTTCAGAAATGATATGCTGATAACGAAGTCTTATGTTGGTTTGTTAATTGATTAAGAAATATTCTATACATCAGATACATCGTCTTGCTAATCAACCAAAAATGTTTTAAATTATAGCTTTGTTATTCTATTCACCTTAAACCTTAAGATTGGAAAATACTGTTGTAGGCCCGTCTGTCTCGACTTAGATATGACCTTGACGTTTCGATTTGCAAGGTTACGATTCCAATAAAAATTATATGAAGGCAGCATGTGTTAGCACATGATTTAAGAAAGAGATCAAATATTTTTACTATTCTTTTCATATTTAATTATTTACTATGTTTTATTACAAGCAATTGTTAATGTAGCTTTAGTTGAGGATTTTCATGGTCGAACTATGGTAACTGGTTGACGCCATTTCATATTTTGCGCTTGCACCATAAAATGTAAATAAAACTGCGAAAACAGAAAATGATGAAAAAGTAAAAGTTTGTTGTGTTTTCGTGCTTTTTCATTTTCGATTGCCAATTCTGACGTGGTTTTGCGACATTCAAAGCTGTTAGCTTTCGAATTTTCGTGGCGATGAAATCTAAAATACAACATGGCGTACATCAGTCATCATACCACCATACCTTTTATGAATGGATATATAATAACTCTGAGCACAATTTTTAAACTAGGAAGTTCAACTTGATATTAGATACAAGATTTAATTTTTTTGCTATGGAAAATGTAAAGAAGCCACACTTTCTCTTTCAGGATGGAGATTAAAATAGTTTTACTTTATTTCATTTTATTAATTTATTCATAAATCTAAGTATAAAACATAGCTTGAAACGAACCTTTTCATCAATGTCTTGAATATGACATACATTTGTGTATAGACCCCTTGTTTATTTCTCGATTAAAGGCCAGTATGCTTTCATTTTCATTTCTCGACAGCTGTTTTTTTTTTTGGTGTTACAAAAATATTTAAAAAAAAAACAACAACAACAACCTCTTACATTGAGTCATAGTCTGAACCATCTTTTGCATTTTTTTTTTTTGTAATTAGTACACTTACAGGTATAATGATTTAATATTTTGTATAGAAATCAAAATATTACTTTTTTATTTACATTTTTCTACTTTCTTGATACATATTTTCAAATTCGTCATTATACTATCTTCAGATAAAGAGCATCTAATATTCTCTAAAACCATTAGTTTAACATTTTAAAATTCATGTTTACTTTTCAAAAGAAGGAAGAGAAAATATTTGTTTCTGAGGCATAATTGTGCATAATTGTGGTTTAAACATACATGTTTTACATCACTTATATGTACCACATTAATAAAAAAAAAAACGAAATAGAATATTCGACTGTTGATATTACGTTTCAGACGACTGAATAACCGTCTATAGACATAACAGACATAAACTATGAAAACTGGTTATTTTATCCATTCCTATCCTGCGGATGATCTGATCACGTTTACTTTTAAGTAAAGGCGGTTGTCGCATAACTCTTCCCGAGTGTGTCACGTACACAAGCTAGTTGGTATACAGTTCATCTCATAGATTGCGGTACTAGAAAAAATTAACTTCTTTGCTTAAGTGCTTCCCTTTCCGCAAGTCTTTGGATAAGGACATTATGAACAATAGCCCTGGACGTTTCCGACTGGCTCATTGTTATTATACCCACCCAAATACGCTGGTAGTCCTCCGTCCGTCACGTAACAAGAGAAACTTAAATTGGTTCAGAAACGATAGTAACTGTAATTTTCTTTGATGTCATTCATTCCAATAAAGCTTTTATGGCTAAAAAGAACAATAAAATAAACAACGGAGTAGCCACATAAGAATTGTCTCGCTAGAATGTCCGGCCGTCCTTCCATCCCACATTTTTGTCCTGAACGTAACTCAAAAAGTATATGAGATATCAACGCAGACATATTAATTATCTTATTGAGGATGAGTGCAACGCACAAGAATGATTCTTCTACCTTTTACGTTTCCGGCCGAATACCGGTCTGGCTAGTAAAATTTGCAGGGAAGAACTGAATATAAAAAGAGTTTTCATTGGTCGTTTTAAAATTAAAAAATGAAATCTGGAAATCTCATTGGTCATTCTAAAATAAAATGTAAAAGATAGTTCTCAACTAATATGTAAAGGATAGTTCTTGCCATTTTGAAATAAAATGTTAAGGATAGTTCTAAAATTAAATGTACAGGACAGTTCTTTTTAACTTTCTAGTTAAATCGCTCAGATATTTAAGTTCTCTTTTACAATACTTCTTGCATTCACATCTCATTACATTTTCTATTGAACAGTTTATTTTTCTTAAGAACGTACTGAGTTTATTTTACATCATAGAATCTTAGTTTTATAATTCTGTCCAAAAATGAGAATAATATCAGAACTTACAGGTACCGCTTAGTTTAGGAAGTCAACTGAAAACAGACCATGTACGCCTAGCCAGTTTTATTACAATGTCCGAAGAAAGATGTAATTAGAAAAGTAAATTAAAGCATAGTAAAGGTTACTTGTTTTAATTTAAAACTTTTCAACTGGCACATATGAAATGTTATCTTATTAAATTTACAAATTTGTCAAAGAGGCCCTTCCTGCGCATATGAGTATAATTCAGGCCAATATATTTTAATTCTTATCTAAAGACTGACGGTTCCAAATGAATGGTGTTCGTGGTCCTCATTCGCAGCTTCACAGTACTTCCCATAATACATACACTGAACAACATTTATTTTCATTACACAATGCGTGTCCATAGGAAAACCAACTTATTCGTATGGTAGGATAACATTATTGCTTAAAAAAGATGATTATTTTCTTTGCCAAAGGTGTGTTAACATTCAATGCGCACGTCGTTTTTATGGGGATATCTTATCTTTTTTTTTTGCATTAAATTTTTCTTTATTCATATCTATTCATCTTATCAAATTATTTGAAACAGGCAATAAAGCTTTGGCTATAATGTCATCTGTTAAAAGTGTCTCTCCGGCGCTTCAGTGTGCTATATAAAATCAGGGCATTTAGATTTTTAACTTATTGGTCATGTCCCTGCAGAGTTTCCGTACATGCGCAAAACATATACACGTAGACGACATACTGTATACATTCGTGTATTTATATTATCATATTATTATAGTGCATAAACTACCCAGTTCGAATGTGGACAGAACATGTTCAATCAAAAACGTTTAAATCTTGTGATGGATTTAAAAACTGGAGTGTACTATTTTTAGTTTAGAACCTTGGGTTCTAATAAAAAATATTTGTGAAATCATCTTCGATTAACAATACAACGGTTCACATTCATTGCTTTTCGTGAATTGAAACTTACAAAATATGGCGACCGAACATTGGACATTTTGTTTGTTTACATTGTGTTTGTATATAGGTTTATTAGCATGTAGTCCGTGCAATTTCACTTCAGAATTGAACACTGAGAAGAAATTGAACGAATCCATTTATGGATCTGATGGAGCGATAATGTTTATGTTGGAAGGACCTCAGGACAATTGCTACATTGATTTAGATTTTGTGTTTGAGTTTATTCATAACAACACGCAAGAGACTGCAATGAAGCATGAAAATACTACAAAAGAAGTCCTCCTGAAAGAATACGAGTTTGTCTGTTCGAGTAGCATATCCGTACATTTTTTCACGAAAAATTCAACATTTGATACAACTTCCCGTCATGCAAACCTGTTTGTGGCACTTTTGTTAGGCGTATGCTCAGTTTATTTGGAGGAATTATCTTTGATTGCAAAATATGGAACTATTTGGTCGATCGTTCAAAGTGACGCTCTGATACATGTTCCGTCACAGAAAACAAGTTGTACATTTGCTAAGCAATTACGAATAATTCATTCAAAAATAGACTGCGTATCTGAGACTAAGTTTTTCTGGGAATTTTGCGATGAGGTTTTTGAAAAGGTAAATATCTTACAGCTAGAAGCATGTGCGACAAAGCATGTAAATATAGAAGCAGAAACTTTGATCCAAAGGTTTCCGGAGGTTCAAGCGTTACAGCTTAATAACATTGACTTGTCTACAAAAATGACGTTTCCTTGGACTGACATGTATGCTGATTCCGCAAATATCAGAACATTTATATCGAGCGATGCTGATATGAATAAATCAGTATCTAGCATGGGACGAGATTTTCGAATATACAACTCGGACATTGTTAACATGGTTTGTCTGAATGGAATTATTTCAAACATTGTGATAAACAATGCAAATTTTAACTCAAATCAAAGTGAGATATTTAGAAATGTTACTGGACTCTACAAGGTGGAAATTTCTAACAACACAATGACAGAAATCAACGCATTCTTGTTTAGAAACCAGACAGACATTAAAAGCATCAATTTACAACAGAATCAACTAAATACTATCCCAGCAAACATTTTTGAAGACCAACATCATTTGCTGTTTCTCGACCTGTCTTTTAATAATTTGTCTTCGCTAGATCGAAACCTGTTGAAAAATCAACAATTTCTACAAGAGCTTCATCTAGAAAACAACCGACTACCAGCATTGCCGCATGATTTTCTGAAAGAACAAATAGGTTCTCTTAAGTTTTTGTACTTGTATTCGAACCCGATTAAGACAATCCCAGTTATGCCTTTGTACGGAGCACGTATAGAGATAATTGATGTACACGGCAGCGAAATTACGGGAGAAAGCCTGATAAATCTGGCCAACAATATCAATATCTATGATTTTCTCAAAGGAATAGCTGACCACAGAGAGTCAAAGTCAAGTACAAAAGATAGAGGAGAGTCTCTCCAACGACCTCTTCTTGATTTGTCATTTTGCAATATAAGAGATATTCACTTGAACTTAAAAGTAAAAAACAAGATGTCGATGGGTATATTGGTGTTATTTAAAACATTTAGCATTAAAGGTAATGGAAACCCGTTTAAATGTAACTGTGGACTGTATGCCATAAGACTTCTATTTACAATTAAAGAAACACAAACATTAAAATTGGACTGGGTTTGTGAATATCCAGAGGAACTTAAAGGAAGGAAAGTAACTAGTCTAACGGACAGAGATATATACTGCCCCATCAATGTTACCGACTGTCCGAGATTGTGTATCTGCTATATGAGGTACGATTTTAGTTCATTGATTGTTGACTGCCGAAATATCAATATGTCAATATTACCGCCTGTAATGCCAAAAGTACCCTTGGAATTATGGTTCAAGAACACAAGTCTTCTGAAACTAGATCAAAGGGACTATTTGGTAAACGTATCTGTTTTGGACATTTCTGAAAACAAACTAACTCGTTTTCAACCACTAACTGCGTCAAAGTTACAAAATGTCACCATTTTGAATATAGAAAACAATCACTTTACATCACTTCCGGTACAAATACGATACACAAACATTAAAAGTATATATTTAGACGGGAATCCATTAAAGTGTGACTGTCACACAAAGTGGATGAAAGCCTGGCTACACAACAGATCGTGCCCAGTCATGGATTGGAACGCTATACAATGTACAGACAACGCTAAGAGGGTCAATACATTTGTTACCACTCCAGATTCTGTATTCGTATGCCCGGAGATTGAAACACCAAGTATTGCAGAGCACGTGGTAATCCCGTCAACCATTATTGGATCTTTTGTGTTTATAATCCTTATTCTGTCCCTAACTATCTACTTCCAACGGTTTACAGTTAGAGTCTTACTTTATATGATATTTGGAGTGAGATTATGCTATAGACTTGATAATGATCATGGCGATGTGAAATATGACAGTGTTGTTATTTACGACAAATGTGATCAAAACTTTGTCAACAGAAACGTTAAAAGTCATCTCAAAGTACTGAACTACGGCGTAGCCGATATTTACGACCACTCTGTTATTGGATTAACATTTATTGATGGAATTAAAAAGTTGATTTGTAATTCAAAAGTTACAATATTCTTTCTGACAAAAAATAGTTTAGATAACGACTTGATTATAACTTTATGGAACATTACCTCTGAACGAGTTTTCAAAAGAAATTTAGACTCTATTATACTAGTACTAGACAAAGAGTTTCGGGAAAAATATACGGAGGAAAATATGCGTTTGTACGTCAAAGCTGGTAGATACATCAAAAAGGATTCATCACTATTGCTTAAAAGTATACAATATCTAATGCCACCTCAAAAACCTCTTAACCAGAACCTGGAATCTAATGATAATGAATTAGACTTTGAGGATATTGGAGCAGGCGATGTGTATTTAACAGAACAAAATCATCGAATCACTGCGAACACTTTTGATGAATTCTCTGACGAGAGGCAACCTGACATTTTTATAGTTTTTCCTGATGTAATCGACGAATTACACCAACTTGTTAGGTATACCATAATACCATATCTTCTTGAGAGAAACCAAAGAGTTAGTGTTCTTCAAGATGATTTTGTCTTTGGTGAAGATATCAGGATAGGCATAGAAAGTAGACTTAATAAAATGAAACATGTGGTCTTTATTTTATCGGAGGAAATTTTGGAGGATGAAGTCTTGCAGTACATCCTGTGCGCAATTCTTACCAAAGCATTTCTGCGTAGCGGTAATTATTTGCTGCTTTTTACATATGGTCTGATTGATGAAAATAAAATGCCGGAGAACTTGAAGAAATTTATAAATAGCCATATAACAGCCAGTATTAGTGATACCAACTTTAAAGACCGAATGCTAGAAGCTATAACGTTCGAGGAAAACCAAGACATTGACAATGAGGATACAGAAAGTGTAGCAATAGAGAACTGTGAAGATGATGAAAAATTAATCTAAAATTTTTAGAATGATATGCTTAAAACAAGGTGTTGTTGTCTTGGATTGGTAATAGATTAAGAAATATTCTATACATCAGATACATACATCTTGCTAAGCAAATAAGTAGTTTTCTTTTCACCTTTAACATATAGATTGGAAAATATTGTTGTAGGACGTTTGTGAAGTTGGCAGCCTAGCAGCCTAAAGAAAATTTAGAATCGTACAAACAAGAAAACTGCCGGAAATGTATTATTAGCACTTCCTTAGATCATTCCACGCATCTTTTCAATATCGTGATCTTTATTTTTTAAGATGTTGAACTTTATTTTTTATTGTAACCATTCCACGCTTTTTTCCGTCCGTCTGTCTCGTCTGTATTTTTCCGCTCAAATACCTTGAACCTTTGATATTCAATCGTACATTTCCTATAAAAATTATATGGTGACAGCATGTGTTAGCACATGATTTAAGAAAGAGTCACTTTAAGATAAAAAAGTTTTACTATTCTTTTCATATTTAATTATTTACTATGTTTAATTACAAGCAATTGTTAATGTAGCTTTAGTTGAGGATTTTCATGTTCGAACTATGGTAACTGGTTGACGCCATTTCGTATTTTTGCGCTTGCACAACAAAATGTAAATAAAAATGCTAAAACACGAAAGGACGACGAAGTGACGATGAAGTAAAACTTTGTCGTGTTTTCGTGCTTTCTATTTTCGAGTAGTTTTGCGACATTCAAAGGGGCGACAATTTCACAATTAGTTTCCGAATTTTTGCGGCGAAAAAATCTAAGATACAACATGTCGTACATCACTCACCATACCATCATACCTTTTATGAATGGATACAATTTTAGGATGGTCTAATGACACCGTGTACACATTTTGAAATAGGAAGTTCATCTTGATATTTGATACAGGGTTTAATTTTTGTTGCTATGGAAAATGTGAAGAAACTGTAATTTCTCATTGAGATAAGATATCAAAATATTTATACTTTATGTTAGTGTTGCACGGTGTTTTTTTATTATTTTCTTCATACAGCTAAATATAAATCATGCCTTGAAACAGACCTTCTTTGATCATAAAATACATGCACAATTGTGTATTAAGACTTTGTTTATTTCTACTTTTTTTATCCAAAATTAGTTGTTTTTTTTAAACTCTTACATTGAGCAATAGTCTGAACCATATAAGTACAATTATAGTGACTTACTATTTTGTATGGAAGTAAAATACTATATTTTGTCTACATTTTGCTACTTTTACGATACATACTCGTAATTTCTCATTCGGCACTACTAACTTTAGGTTATCATCATCTAATATTCTCTTAAAATTTAAAAGTCCTGTTTGCTGTTTTTTATTAACACAGCTATGTACCACATTTATAATAAAAGAATTTGGAATATTTACGTACGTTTCAGACGACTGAGTAGCGGGGCAAATTGTAAAAACTGATTATTTTCTCATTCCTTTCACGCGGATGATCACGTTTACTTTTGTGTAGAGGCAATTGTCACATAACTCTACCCGAGTAGAGTCACGTACACTAACTAGTTGGTATACAGTTCATGTTGTGGTAGGGCAAAACGAATTGCACAAATTAACTTTCTTGCTCAACTATGAGTTGGAGCATCTCTGAAATCGAGTCCGAGAACATTTTCCATTATTATAAAATAATTCAAGAAAAACTGACTTTTGAATAAAAATATTTTAAACCAATCTAGAAAAAATATGTAAATATGCCTCGGTTTATGCTTCGGTACGTTAAAAATAATTTTCAAGAAGGTTTTCATCCTGATTTCTTATAGGTTGTGGGAAAAGTCGAGTGGGAGCATTTAGAGAAAAACACTTATCGCGTTTAGGCAATGAATTTATAAACTTTTTTTTACAATTATCTCAAGGACTATAGCCATTCTTTGGTGCGCTACATTATTTTTTTACTAATCTTACTATTTCTGATAAAAAAAATCGTATTTTACCCTTGAGTCGACGGATTTTCGGCAAAAATATGGTCAGAGTGGAGGGCATTCAGCATGTGCGCAATGACGTAGTATCCTACCATTGCAACTGTTTATAATCCCCCATCCAAAAGGCAGCAGATGAAATGATAATGCATGTAGTCTCCGTCCATCTTTACGCACAAGTTTACGAGCGAATACTTTTCCGGTTTCAGCCTTCAGGAACAATAGGTAACTGTACTTGTTCTTTGATGTCATTCATTCCGTCAGCTCTTATGTGGCTATTTTTCACTCTGAAAAGAACAATACAATAAACAATGGAGTAGCCGCATTAGAATTGTCTCGCTAGAATGTCCGTCCGTCCTTCCATCCGTCTGTTCTTCCGTCCCACAATTTTTTTTGTCCGTAAGGTAACTCGAAAAGTATTTAGGATTTCAACTTGAAACATAATTGGCAGACACATCTTATTGAGGATGAGTGCTATGCGCAAGAATGATTCTTGTACCTTTTATGTTTTAAGTTAT